AGACACACTGGGTACAGATTCAAAGCGCTTTACGAATGTCCGCTACCCTGGTCTGTGGCTGCACTAGACAAGCTGTTAGTCATTGGATCTCCGCACAGTCTCTCTAATCAATGGAAAGCCGCTGAACAATTCCCGCGGGAGTTGAGTACAACGCACTACATAGAACAACAGGTGCTGAGCTCAGACGGCTCCTCAGGAAGGATCGCGAGGTTTAGTGGACACAGCGCGTCGTTGAGATGGAGAGGGCAGCCACATCAGGAAACTCACACAAACTCCTCCAACTTACTCGCTCCACGGGAGGCAGAAGACCAACAGTGAGTGAGGTCTTGCGTGAAAATGATGGTGAACTAATTCACAGTCGTCAACGTCGTCTGGTAAGATGGGCAGAGCACTTTGAAGATCAATTCAACTGGCCAGCAGCGCAAACGAGTCTATCTTCCGGGGTTCACAGTGCTTCCTGGTGCGTGGATGTTCCTCTACCCACAGAGGCTGAGGTTTCCAATGAGCTTCGCCTACTAAAACTCCACAAGTTACCTGGCCCGGATGAATTTTGTCCTGCCCTTTTCAAATATGGAGGTCCTGCTTTCACCTGTGAAATGACATCTCTCTTTAATCAGATTTGGACTACTAAAACCATTCCATCCAACTGCAATTTAGCGAATGTTGTACCTGTTTATAAAAAAGGAGACCGGACCGCTTGCTCCAACCATCGTGGTATCAGTCTCATTTGTGTCGCATACAAACTGCTCGCTGTCCCACTCTTACGGAGACTCAGTTGCGTACGGGAACAGCACCTGCGTGAACAACATGCTGGATTTCGCCCAGGTCGCGGTTGCGTCAATCACATTTTTACGATCCGCCAGATACTTGAACATCGCCATACATCCAGTCGACCAAGTTTAGTCATATTCTTGGATATCCGAGCCGCTGTTGACTCTGTTGACAGAGTGGGACTGGTTACTGAAGAAAGGAGTATCTGAAAAGTACAGCAGCACTTTCCGTGCCATTTACCATCAAACTTCGCGCCGCGTGCGAGCATGCGGAGAAAGTTAAGCCCGATTTCAGTATCACTAGCGGTGTTAAATAGGGGTGCCCAGCCTCTCCATTCTTATTCAACTTCGCCATGGACGAGATCCTGGATACTGTTTTGGATAACTCTGAGTATCGCGGTGTTGAACTACTCCCTGGTGACCGCCTTCGGGACTTAGAGTACGCCGATGACATCGCTGTGATTTGCGAGTCTTCCCAAGCCGACCAGCATATGCTGCTCAGACTGGAGATGTCCGCTGCCCAATTCGGGTTGACCTTTGCCCCTTCCAAATGTAAGGTCCTGTTACAGGACTGGCCAAGCGCATGTCCTTCTTTCATCCTTTCGGGGCATCTGTTGGAAGTGGTCGATAAATTCATTTATCTTGAGGAGTTGTCTTAGTACTGGCGGTTTCATGGATGAGATCTCTCTGCGTGTCTCCAAGGACAGAGTCGCTTTCGCTAACATTCGTTACCTGTGGCTTCGTCGTGATCTCAGCCTCGCTCTCAAGGGAAGAGTCTATAATGCTACGGCACGAGCGATTCTGTGGTACGGCTGTGAGACTTTGCCCGTTCGCAAAAGCGATGTTCAGCGGCTATCAGTCTATGATCACCGTTGTCTGCAAAGCAATACTGGTGTTCGATGGCAGCACCACATCAGTAATGAGGAAATCCGTCGGTGAGTCTTGAGATCTAACGAACTCCGCCGATCGATTGGCAGCATCAGCTCACTGCGGAGGCTTCGCATGCCTACCCAGCGGCTACCACGAGGAGTCCTATCTGGGAGCACATGCGTGGCTTGGAAGCGACGAAAAGGAGGGTAATGTAAAACTTGTATCCAATGAGTTAAGGCGCAAACGTTGAAGCTGGCTGTTGTCGGGCCTTCCCGACTCCCCGGTTGGGGACCGAAGGACCCCGAGCACACCTGGTGGCAAACGCTGGAGGATATGGCCAACGACCCTACGCAATGGCACACTTGCTGTGAGACTTTTCTACCTTAACAGTTGTTTCCCTTTTATCCTATCCTATCCTTTTTTTTCTCCTCACGTGTTGTGGCACTCAGCCAATTATATTGTAATTGGTATTGTGTTGAATATATATATATATATATATATATATATATATATATATATATATATATATATAATCAGTCCCTGCGTAGTGCATCCGGACAGAATGGTATTGACCATTATCGATGAATGCAAACATTTCAACCAGTATGTTTAGGAAAGACATTTCGACATTCACAAGAACCATAAATCCTTTCTTTCGTTTTCTGGCGAGAAGAGAATCCAATAGATGTCGTTGCCTCGAATGCAAAAGTGAGTGCTACTTGTGAACGCCTACAACTACAAATTACGACGTGCAAACTGAGCTGGCAACACTGTGGCAGCAACGAGGAAAAACGAACAACTAGAGTTTACCAGTCTGGAGTAAAACCTCGAAGAAATACCCGTACGGGGCGAGTTGATGCGACGTTTAGCAGACCAAGACCATATGCTGTGGACGATGAAGCGGTTCTTAATGATTGGATGGCTTAGAAATATGACAGACGAACTGGAGCCAATCAACTGTCGAGAAAATGATTTAGGCCTATAGAACGCCTATATGTTCGGAGACCCGAGCATAATTCTGTAGGCTGAATGGCGGCCCCAGATGCTGAGGATTGTATAATACATATCTTGGTGTGAAAATATTGCACGTGAGTACCGATGACAATCAAACATTGAACAGGATAAAGATTACAGTGAAGTAGCGAAACCTCAGAAATAATAACGGGAAAAATCTTGAGGGTTGAGTTATTGTAGCCCGATCAGTGGGGTGATGGGCCCATTTTTGAATGATGGATAGAAATGCATCCAATTTCAGACAGCGGTCAAAAATGCGTTCCATGTTCGCAAACCGCGATACCCCAGAAGCGGTATACACCGGCAACACGAGAGTATTTATGGGTGAATAATTGGACTTTGGGTAATGATGAAATACTGCGCATCCAGTTTAACCGGCACAATCGCGCGTCGAACGCGCTAGCAGAGCACGCAGTCCAGGCCGTTAAGCAAAGTCTCTTCAAGCAAAGCTGTGGAACTCTGCAAGCAAGGTTGAATCGTTTTCTGATCGCTAACCGCAAGAAACCGACTGAATCGACAGGAAAATCAGCCGCGGAGTTGTGAGTTGGATGCCCTTGACGGGCCAGATTGGATCTGACTGTTCCAAACCCTTGAAGTATGCAGGTGAAGCAGGACCAGGTCACTGACCTACAAACATTGAGTAAGCGGACGACACAGCCTTTTCGATCAGACTCAATGGCTATGCAAACAGTAGTGAACAGACTGAAGCGTAACGCTGCACGCCACGGTATGTGTTATGCATCTTCGAAGTGTAAAATATTGTTGCAGAACTGGGTCAAAACACCACTGCTTTTAGCTATCACCGAAAAGTTATTAAAAATGGTGGATCGGTTAGCTTACCTTGGTAGCTGCCACCTCTGGTGGTCACATCACTGGGGAAGTTCCTTCGCTTATCAGCAAAGCCTGTGTGGCTTCTCCGAATGTAAACCATTTATGGAGACGGCAGGATGTAAAACACTGCAATAAGGACGGTGTTGCTGTGTGGATAAGAGACCTGGCCATCTTTCACCAAAGGTGCCTGCGGAGTATTGCTCATATCTGGTGGCAACACCGGGTCCGTCGATTGCTCACTAAAACAGCCGTTTACGTTGGCTTGGTCATAACCTCCGTATACCCGTTGACCACTTTACCAGGTAGTTGGGGGAGACTTTGGGGTAACCAGTCAATGATGTTATATAAAGGCATGGAGAAATCGACCGAAAGATTTGATAAGGTTGGTGGGTGCCGTCTTCGTGAAAACACCGGAACGGTCAACGGCAGTGGTTGGAGGCCGTATCGGATACAGGGAACATGCGCAGTCAGTGACGTTCCTGCATACGGCTTCTTACATCGGGTTGTTAATCTCGCATCCCGAATAATGTCACTCGCTTTTCTCATTCTGTTTGCTCTCCATTTCATTTCCCAATCACTGCTATTTATCGCTATCATGGCGACGCGAGTCCTGGTAACTAGGTCAACAGCACTCCGATGCCCGGATCGCAGTTATTTAACTGGACGGGGATGAAATGGACTAGTAAAGCAGGAAAAGATGTGTCGGTATGATAAGTTATCAAAACAAATGTGTCGCAATGAGTCTACTCGGGTGTATATAAAGGTGTCTTGAGAATAAAGGTGGCAAACTGCCGTTCAGGAGTAATCACTAGGGCCTGCATTTGGCAGACAGGCGTGGTGCGCCGCCAATGAAACTATGTTCGCCCAAGTTCAATAAGGCCGCAAGAGTGAGCAATCGACTACTAATGACACATAAGAGGAGGTGAGCGAAACCACAAAGCTTAGGGAGCTGAAATGAGATCCAGGTGTGAAAATGAGTGTAATCGTAAGTATGAGTTAAATTAAACAAAAGCATGAAGAAGGAGCATTTGGTAATGGCAAAAAAGTAACTCTAGGTACTGATTATAATCTGCGGGAGGGGGGGGGAGGAATTATCAATTCCGCATATTCAGGCAAAACAAGCAAGCGGTGGATTGCCTAGAATAAAGTGATAAGGCTGAAACAGATAGAGACAGTTGTGAGAAAAAACTGTAGTTATATTTGAAGCCAACACAAATCTAGGTGGTTTGCGGAAACGGAAAATCGTGGACAATCAACAAGAACTGTAACAATGAGGCGGGTTTGGAAGTTACTCCAACAAACCACGGAATGGTGATCGCATGTGGTTCGACGCGTGGAAGAAAGTTACGTCATCCACGACATGGTGGTCACGAACCACGCAATTATCACGTTGCTTAAATCATACTACACCGTAATGAAAACTGCAAAACAAGTCCGACAACCTATTAGAACGTGGGGGCTTGAAACAAGTATAGAAGAAATGTAAAAACGCACATCTATAATCGAACAACTTACTGTGGTGGTTGTACAGGGTCTCGGCCAGGAAACGGGATGCAAAACGTCAGCCTCTTGGGGGACGATTTGAGGGCAGACTTGCTAGTAACTGGTAAGGACAACCGTCCTTCCTGTTGAAACAGGGCAAAAAGCAGATTGAAGTAAACATGCGGATTTTTAATCGATATGTATGATATGGTAGCAAGAAAATAAAACAACTGCAAGTCCCAGCATTATCGAAGGGCAAATGAAATAGTAATGATGAGAAACAAGACAGTGTAAATATTGGTTGATTTTCATCGAGTATGCCGAGTTTGAAGTGATGACTGTCATAAGGACGACAGCGTAAAGCCATTAAACAGCAATAACTTCCGAAAGGGACAGAGAATAGAGTAAAAGCTCGAGTCGGTAACAGTTGGGGCAAAGGCAGAAATGTCAAAAGTTCAGTCAGCAAGAAGCGGAAGTAGGCTTCGATCTCACGAAGTGTGTTTGGGATTGTGACAAGTGACTGTCGCCCGGGCTTCTGTCCCTTTACACAGGCCAACTTGAAATATTCTCGTTCTACCTTAAAAACTTCCCGCCTTTGTTTTTGTAGCCCGTAGCTTTGAAGAACATAAGTTTGCCTTATAGTCCTAGGACGCGGGTTCCAGCTTGCGTGGGGACAGGGAGACCCTCGCAGTATCCTAGTCCACGTGCGAACGGTAGTGATTGCGCGGCAGCGAGGCGTTGATACTGCGTACCGACGTACTGTTGATGTCTTCATAGTGGGTAATAAGAATAACACTAAGGAGGGAACTAACCTGACGTACTAATATAGAATGAGCGGCGTATTTGCGCTCTAACTCTCTCCTATGGTAGTGAGAAGACAAAATGCTGAATAAGGAGAAAAGTTGGTGCAGGAAAGGTAATTTAGAGAACTATTTTGCAGAGACTCCAATAGAAAACTGGAAAAAGAAACAAGTAATGGGGTTGCGAGGTATGAAAGTGTGAAAATCCCACACGAACTCCAAGGTCTTGGCATAGACTAGACGCACTAGTGTGAAAGGAAGTAGATGACGAAATAGACGCCACTCGAATTGGCAGATAAACCTGTCTAGATTTAGTTAATCATCATCGGGTGGGGGCGTAACAAAGATATCCCAGGCGCAGATAGGCTAGCGGACTGGAAGACTTACGTGTAAAAATCCAGAATCGGAGCTTTCTGCTTTGAATGGATGATTCTTTGATGGCCTCTGCAGCACAGAAAGGTACCGAACATTGTGGTTCGGTAGAGTGACAAGGAATGATGCATGGAGTGACATGGTACTTCTTCTGATGATAAGGCCTGTGTTAATATGGAACTTTCCATGAGTAGGGTCCGACTGCAAAATCCTGTTGACAAAACAAAAAACAAAGGAATATATTAGGTCTACTGCTTTGTACGCGACTCCCGCTGAAATAATCTCGTCTTCTGCTAACTTCGAAGCTCAGCTAAAATCGGAAAGTAACGCTTAAGGGTTAAAGCGTTTTTCAAAGCAGCTACCGAAAACGCGGACAAGTAGTGTAAAAGGAACGGATATTTGTAAGTTAACACAAGAACGTTCGTGTTCCACGACAGTTAGATCAGCTCCCCTGATGGGCAGTCCATTTCCGCTAGCCAATGGGAAATAGGGCACGCGTGTCACGTAGTGAACGCCAATGAGACGGCTTGATGCGTCAGCTGTACATTATGGCTTAAAATTGTTTTCACTTTCTCTCGGTCATCTCCCCTTTGAGATCGCGGCTGTGATATAGGATGATAACCACGGGTTGATTTAGTCTTGAAGACAGTGTTTCCGTCTGTCTGTCGATCGTATGGGTTGGAGAACTTTTGTAGTCGGCTCTGGACTATCGGTTGCACAGTTCGGCTGACTGCAACTCTCCTTGTTGAAATGATCCACAAACGTAAAAGATAGCACAACAGATTTTTTTTATTTCTGACTGGCACAATGTTGAGCACAGTTGATTTGTAAGGCGTACCCAGGTTTCAATCCAATGAGCACATGATAAATGACATCCCCACGTTTCCATTTGACCGTACCTAGAGTCTAGCTGCGTGGACTTTCTGGTAGTTGCGTGCAAGCACGGAATCGCTGAGTTTGAATGAGCGTTGCTTTGCTACGTGTCGACAACTAGATTCTCGCTCCATTTTCGGTTTCTTTCATCGTATGAGGACTCCGAGACCGGCGAAGAGCCCCGAACAGCATGAGGAGCCTGTTCATCATTGTTTCTGCCAGAGAAATTCCGTTCGGTGCTTGTGGGTTTGGTGTGGACTGATACAGAAAAATGAATCTATCGAACAATTACTCCATTTGCCTCTCCCCATTTGATTTGAAGAGCTCTCTGCCTGGTTACTCCATTGTGTGTGGAACGGCAACGAATGAATGTGCTGGACGGTGCGTCGCTTACAGAACTCCCTAAAAGTTGCCGAAGTGAACTGCGTGTCGTTGTCAGTTATGAGTGTGTCCTGAAAACCTAACCAATTGAAAATTTGCAACAGTCATGATATGGTGGCGTTGGTTTCCACTGTGGGAGTAGACGACGATGAGCGAAGTTCGGTAGCTGACCGGTCTTGCGAAGCCGGCATACATACTGGAAAAAGGGTTGGCGGATTTTGGTCATGAATAAGTTGCACCTTCACAGCGCTTTTGGAAAGTTGGCACACTTTTGACAGCGTCTGGTCAGTTCTTCCAATTGCTTGTTCATGAAAGGTCACTATACGTAGCTTCGGGCAAGCGCCTTTACCCGGTTGATTCCAATATGCACTGCATGGAACTTCCGAAGTGTGCGCTTTTGTGAAACTTCGGGATAACTCTTTCACAAAATAGTATGTAGTCGTTTACAATGGAGATTGCATGGCTCTATTGAAAATAAGGTTGCGATTCGAATGACGGATATGAACGTTGTCAACTAGTTCTGCGTAATTGTGTGACCCTCTCGAGCAGTGGATCACAAAACGTCGCAGCTCGTACAGCTTCTGCGGTCGCGAGAAATTTGATGTCGAGTTCAAGTTCAACAGTTATGATCTTGTCTTTTTCATCTTCTTGTTGAGAGTCAAAGTGGAGTGACAGCGCGCCTCATTTGCCCATGAAAACCGTTGTTTTGCAGCGAATCTCAAAATAAAAACGCGGCATTTAGTGTTCAGTGTTGGAGGTGGTTGGTTATGTAAGCAGGGACGTCCTACCTCGAAGTGAAGATTGTCATCAAGGATTTGTGAATAATCAAAAGTTTGAGGTGGCGGCCATGTGGCATATTGCGGAACTTCTTCACCGCAGAGATTGTACTAATGCCTTCTTTCGATTTGGTTGTAGTTGCTCTCAGCTTTTGTCAAAGTCCTGACCGCGTGAGCGTTAGTTTTCTGCGATCCATCTGGGCACGTGTGAGACAACTGCACCGATCCCATAGCTTGATACATCTTGCAATTATGATATCTTTGAGTTGGGTCGTAATAAGCCCACAACAGGCCTGAGACCAATAACGACTCGACCCATCCAGAGGTATTCTGATACGCACGTCCAGTGCCAGGCGTGGTGTTTGCTCGGCAGGTAACGCAGGCAGTGCATCTCATGCAAAAATGTACTGCAGTGACTGAGGAGATCACAAAAGAAAAGCAATTGTTCCAAGTCTGTTGGTAGAGGCAGTTCCTCTATGGCTTCTCTATTTGCTGGAGATGGTCGATAACATTCCAAGGATAAAAACGGAGTATTCGAAAATCAGCGTGAAAAATAGGTATGTCTTCATGAATGCCAAAATGACTGGACAAGCAAAAGTACTTCCCCTTAACTAGTTAAATAGCTCATCCGTTATTCGGCCCATTATTATGGTGTCATCCAGATATGCGACGGCTCCAGAAACTTTTACGGGCATGTATCCATCAACTGCTGGGAAATTACTTTGCCATTCTCACATCGAAAGGTAAGTGATTTTACTGGAACAGCACACGAGTGTTGATCGTTAGCAGCTCTCTCGAGTCTTCGCTCGTATCTACCTGGAGGTAAGCGTAGGGCAGACCAAGCTAGAATATGTCTTCCGGTAGTGGTAATGAGTACTAATGGATGTCAAGAGCGGCATTCAGGAAAGTTGACAAATCGGCAAAGACGCGTACTTTGTCATTCGCTTTATTCATTGCAACAACTGGTATGGCTCATGAAGAGTACGGTCCACAGGTGTCAGGACAGCTCGTTCTAATCGATCCAGCTATGGATCAACTGTTGATAAGCCTGAAGAGTACCGGTTTTCGGTCTTGAAAAGTGGTTTGGCCCATGGGCGCAGGCACAGCGCTGTTTTTTTTAATTTTTTGTTATGGCCGAGACAATCTTGAAGCACAGATCGAATTTTCGTTTCAGTAGGTGCATCATGTCTTCAACTTACCTCGCTGAAGGGTCTCCATCGCAATGAGGCTGGACCTTACCGTGGTGCGATGGTTTGTGTGCCTCAGTGATCCATTGAGCTATACTGAGTGGTGCTTTTGCACCTTCAGAGTCACTCATACCAGATTGGTCAATGGTTAGAGGCCAGACAAACTCAGCCTCCTGGTCCTCCAGGTTGGGGGTTGGAATGAGGATGGCTCCTTATTCCTTAAAACGGAATCCTTGTAGTCCAGTGCCAAACCCGCTGCCTTGCGGCTAGGTTTTTGAACCAAAGGCTTTGATTGAGAACCCTAATCGTTCTCCTGTCTAGGCCTGGGCAACCTGACAGTATCCTGCCCACGCAATACAATGAATCTTTCCCCAAACAAATTTCTGATGCTCTGGCCACCGCAGAGGATAATCAACGGTGCCCTATCTGCTGCATCGAGCAGGGTGGATAGGGGTTTGGATGCTACTGCTCAAGCCTTCCCATCTTCTTATTCCCCCTCTTGAGCTTTTTCACCCTTATCGTCCCGTTCCAGCTTCACTTTTATCCCCCCTGTTTTCCACCCCCAATTCTCGGCCCTCCCCCACCTTGCTTCAATAGTCGCTTGTCTTTTAGTTTCAACTCACAGGTGAATGCAGAGCGTCATTCCTGCACTGTCAACAGGCCCATGTCTAAGCAAGCGGCCCATTCCAGTTCATCGACTTCCATTTGGAGCCCTCGATCCTCCTTCAGACTGGCATGCCTCAATGTTCGCACATTGCTTCAGATCGATCAACATGCAGCACTTGCCCGAACATTAGAGACCGTTTCCATCGATACCTGCTGCTTATCGGAGACCCACCTGCAAGACTCGAGCTCTGTACTCACTCTGCGATCCCCTTCAGGTGACACCAGCAGTGTTTTCTCCTTGCGCCTATCCGGTGACGATGCAGTTTCGAGCACCGGCCAAGCCGGTGTTGGTATTGCCCTGAGTCCCCGGGCTGAAGCTGCTCTGGTTGATTGGATTCCAATCAGTAGCCGGATGTGTGCGGTCCGATTGGCTGGCTCGTTCAAAGCTTCGAAGTCGCGTGGGACTAACAGGTGCCTATTCGTTATCGCTGCCTATGCACTTGAACTGGTCATCCGTCAGAAACGTTCAAAGCCATGATTGAAAGTCTGTCAGCGTCCCATAATCGTCAACTTCCCGCTTGAAAATGTTCAGACACTGATAGCGAATGCTGTATAGCGATGACGGCGCACTGAAAATTTCGCTAACTTGTGACACCGTCATGTCAAAGCTGACATCTTTCGTGCCAAATTTGCGGAGTAGCAGTCGCATTTTCCATGAAAATATCCTCAAGGTGTCTGAACTACGCATCGAACGTGCTTCCGGAATCAGCATCATTAATATACACGTTAGCTTGAGGTTTAAAACACCTCAGCTATTGTGCCGCAATACATAAAAGAAAAAGAGTAAAAATACAGAGGTTGCATGACAACTGAGCTACCAGTAAGGGAGGGACATCGTTCCGGAAACCTACCAGCCGGCTACTAGACAACGAGAAAAATTCTTATGTAAAATTATATTACGCTACGAAATGAGAGCGTGGTTGGAGGGGGAGGCTAAGAGGGATTGGATGGGACAAAAAAAACTCACAGCACGAACGCCACTGAGGTCGGCGCTTAGCCATGTCAGCAAGTGTATCTAGCCAAACGGGTTCAGCGTCTTTTGGACCCCAACCGTGATGTTCCAACCGAGGCCAACTCCGAAGTGAGGGCCTTCATTCCTCTCGACAAGTCATCGCTTGGTCACCGCTCATCTTCTTCCCTCCACATACCCGGTGAGCAAACAACGTACGTCACAGGAGTCGGTGGGCTGGCATGCGCAACATGTGGTCGAGCCATCGAAGCCTGGTGCGTGAAAGAACGGTGCTGAGCGGTTCATTCC